TCTCAGTAGCAATGCATTACATTAATTAACAATTATTAGCAGTTCTGTGATTCTATAGCACGCTTTTTAAAAATTCAAATGTACCTATTTTAGTGTTAATGTGCACCATCTGGTAACCTTGTATCAGCATTTGGCTTGCTACAAGGCACTAAAATGTACTAATTTTCACCGTTTTGCAGTATCAGTCTGAGGAGCAAAGATTTTATTTGGCTTTACAGGCACATTTGTAAGTCACTGAGGAGATTTTAGACCAGAAGGAACCTTTTCTTCAGCTGGATATTCTGAGACAACTGTATTGGAATCAGTGGAAAACTTCAATAACAGCAGAGTTTGCCCATAAATACATTACAACAATGTGTGCTTTATGCCAAAGTTACAAAGATTGTGAATAACCAGTACAAAAGCCCTTAAACTACATGACTTTTTTAGATAGCAGTTTGTGTTGTTCACTATATTTCATTAACCAAATTACATCATTTCAGTCGATGAATTGCTCTTGAGAGAAAAAACACCAACTCCCAATTAATATAAATACTGGCATCACTGATACCAGACATCTCTCAAGGCATCTCTGGTTAAGATGCTGAGTTAGTGAAGCCCACACCACTGTATCACCTAAAATAAATGCTGAAATTTATACAGCCATGTATAAATTTTACCTTTTTCCCAGGGTCCCACATAAGGCTGCTTCCAGTGCCTCAAGGGAGCTTACAAGAAAGCTGCATTTTATTTGTAGCTTTCCAGTGAGACTTGCACGGGTTTGTATTGGCAATCAGAAAATCTTCTATAGCACACAGCTGAGTCTAAAAAGTTATACAAGCTGAAAATAATGCAGATTAATGTATTTACAGTTTATCATGGTTATACTTAACAATTTATTGCACTGAGCCAGGGGAGATGAGTTTATGAAATGCAGATGACTCAAAAACAAGGCAGTTCCAAATGTTACAGGTTAAAGCATTATGAGTTATTTACAGACAAAATATTATTATCCATAAAAGGCAAAAGGTGCATTTCCACTGTCTGTTAGTTTGGCTGAGGTGAATGTTTTTGAGCTGAGTCTCCTTAGTTTTCCCATTTATTGCAGTGTGGTCCACATTGCTGAGCAATCTTGGAGCACTTGAGCTGGGTTGTTTTTACACAACACTAAACCAGAGGAGCTGCTCCAGGGACAGATACCAAACTAGATTAGATTCAAAGTAAAACTCCTAAAAGACCTACAACAAGGCCACCAGATCCTCAGTGCCAGTTTTTTTCTTTTTTTTTTCTCCTTCTGTAGTTTAATTCCTCTTACACTGTACTCATGACTAACAGCAGAGATTCCTGCTCTCTTTCTTTTTCCAGCAGTGCACTATTTTGGTGAAAAACTTATTTTTCTATTCAGAGGAGAGCTTAGCTGCACTGAACAGTGTCTTTACGTGAGCTAATCCTTCTCTTTTAATGAATTAAGCTTGTTTCTTCACCCTCCTTTTCAAATAAAGGGGATTTTTCACTCGCTGCAGCATCTTTCAGAGCAGCAGTGGTACAAGGGTAAGCAGGCCACCTTATGAGGCTTAAATCTAGGCAGATGATAACGAGCATTCAGTCACTCGTTGTTAATGGTAGCATTAATTTCTCAAAGGAAAAGCACCAAGATGAAATGCAGACAAGGTGTTTGCTCCTGTAGGTGGTGGCAGTAAGGTTCTGATGGGCTTGGGTTAACAGCTGGAGTCAGGTGATGAGGTTAATGGAAAAGAATTTTGTTTTTCAGGTCACTTAAAGAAAGTAACCTTGGAAGAGCTCAGCAGAGCCCTTGGGGTAGAATAATTATCCCTCTTCTGCTTCCATCACTGCAAGTTAACCCAAGACACAGGAGATCTAAACATGAACTCAGCTGGGCAGAGCATCACAGGAGGAGCATCAGTGCTGCTGTAATCTCTGCTGCCCCTCCAGTGAGAGAACACAGCCCTTGACCAAAGGCTTTGCAGAGCCACAGCTTTAAAATGGACAGTTTGGGATGCAGGTTATTAAAAAACCCCACTGTGTGAGAAGACAAAAAAATACTTACTATGAGACAGGCAGTTTTGGGCCAATTCATGGCCTTTGGGTCAGGCAGCCACAGAGAAGAGGCTGCAGCAGCCCCTGGTCACACTGTCCCTGCTCTGTGATGTGCTGGTTTTGCTCTGCTGCTCAGAAACAATTCCAGCTCCTGAGATTGGAGACCTTGCACTGATCTGCTCCCCGGGGGCCTCTGTGTGTCTGCACCACCATTTCCCTCTTTATCCCTTAACTAAAATACTGTGAGTGAGCTGCCCAGGAAAGCACAGCTTCCTCATGAGGCACAGCTCTGCTCTGGGGTTGGTGGAGCCAGAATAAGGATCAGAGATCACTTCATTCGATCCCAAACCTTGGAAAGCCATTTTGAGTGCCCCAGATCCATATTTAGAAAGCCTCTGGAGCAGACAGGATTAGCACTATCCCCACCTGTAACATCACTACCTTCTCCTCAAGTACTCATTTCATGTTCCAAGCAACATGAATTCCTCATCTATGTAAAGCTGAAAATCCTTTTTGCAGCCCTGGGTACAATAACTACCATAGAGAAAAACAAGATTAAACTTGACAGTAATAGAAGTGATAGAGGAGGAAAAGTGTTCTTCCTTTGAGGCACAGGCTCTGAATCCAGCAGCCAGTCACTGACTGAAGAAAGGCAGGAAGAAAGAGAAATGCAGTTATATTCAAGCATCAGGTCTTAAAAAAAACAAAAAAAAAACCTTCTGAGAAAGAGAAAAAAGAAAAACCCACACTTTTCTCTTGACATTTAACAAACTACCTAAACGAGGTAAGCAAGGGGAAAGGAAGAGAGTGCAAGACCTTACACAGAGAGCTGCTTTCAGCCATTTGTTCCTGGATATCTTCAAATACATTTATCCAACCTTGCTCAGGGACAACAAGCCCTCCATGACCCTCAGCCAATCCTCAGGACTGTTTTCTCTCCCTCCCTCCTCTGTGGGGACCAGCCTGCTGAGCAAAGCCTCCACACCTGCGTGTCTGCAGGTTGCCAGGGATTTAACCCCTCACGTGCCACATCCAGGGGAGCAGATTTATTCCCCAAAATGCCCCCCAGTGAGCCCTGCTGCAGTGATTGACCCTGCACCTCAGTGTGGTGAGCACCTTTGGGAGTGTGTCACGAACAGTCCCTGCCACGCTGTTACGTGTAAGGATTTATTGATCGTTTTATTGATTTATTGATTTCTTGACTTTGGCTCTTTAGTGCTCTGAACTCCCAGGAAACTGAGATTCCAAGGCTGGAGGTCTCATCACCAGCCTTAGGTGTCTCCTACAGAAGGATTTCTTACCCCTTGCTCCTCCATCACTGCTTTGCTTTTGGGTTTAGGCAGGCTGAGGAGCATTTCCTGCTATTAGGGCTCTTTGGCAGCAGTTTCTCCAAGACATTTTTGATATTTAGAAGCATACCCACTGTTCCCCCAGCCCAGCCCAGCCGTGCCCCCTGGAGCAGCAGGATGTGCCAGGGCAGGAGCAGAACAGAGAGTTTGAGTAGTGATTAACACAACAAAGAGAGCTGCCTGCCTGCAAATGGAAACACACTGGGTGCTTGCGATGTAACAGCATTCCCATCTAATTTTACACTCTGCATATAGTAATAAGACACAACAGGGTGTGCATTAAGCTCATCTTTTGAGAAGTGCAGCAGTAGCTGGATAATGCACACCCCGGAGTGGCTTATTTGTAGTGGACTATGGCTCATTAATTTTACATTTAATTTTTTTTCAAATCCGTTTTTAAAAAACCCACAAGTCTATTCTGAGGGCAGTTATGTAATGTATCCTTACACTGAAAAATATTTTCAAATAAAAACAGTAGGCAAAAGTGAAGAGGAGTTTTGCCCAACTGCAGACCAGGGTTGGTATCTGCTACGAGCGGGTTCTTGGCCTGCTGATGCAGATACATAGTACAAATAATGATACTTATGGAAATCTATTCAGTGTTCACTCTTTTCTAGACTTTTCTTTCTTTCTGTGTAATTACCTGGGCGTTTTTTCTTCCTTTTTTTCCTCCTCCTTTTTTTTTTTTCCATCTGGTGTATGAGCCAATACTCGTTTCAGACCAGATTCACACATAAAGCATTTGGATAGGGATGGGACTGACTTTTACACCAGACTGGGAACGAGTGGTCAGGAGGAAGATTTGCAGGATTTGGGGGAAATTGGTTTTGCCAGAATAGCAGTGTGTGGATAAGCCTGCCTACAACAGCATTTAAAGCACAGAGGGTGTCATAAAAACTCTGTTTTGTTATGACATCACTCCAAAAGTATGAAGGACTGTTGGAACCCAGAAACCTGGGAGTTTTGAACTTTCTGTTCTTTCTGACACTGACCCCCAGGAGAACACTGCTTTTGACCTGAGGCCTTGCAGAAGGCTTCCAAGTTTGAGTGATGGAGTTAAAGTCATGGGTGTGTAGTTAAATAGAAGTGTGTGCTTTCACATGGTGAAGGGTTTTGAATTTGGAGTTTTAGAATATAGTCATAGGTATGAGACAAGATGGAAGTTCTTGGGTGTTGTCTCATTTTGTGTTCTTCTTCCTTCTTCTTCATATTTTCAGGCAGTAGTTTCTGGTTGGACAGTTAGTGCTGCACTGCAAGTCACAGAGGTTTGGTTATTGGGTCAAAAGTATAAATAATATAGGTGTTAATTCTCTATTGGACTGTTTAGCTTTAAAAAAAACTTGTAACTAGCTAGATTAGTCTCTATTTTGCTCACTTTTAGCTGGTAGCTAAAAGTGTTGCAGAACTCTCTGTACTTTAGATAGGATTTAATAAACAACCAAGAACATGAGAAATTCATCTCCTTCGTGTTTTTAATCCTGACTCTGAGTAAAGGCAGAAGAAAATAAAGACAAACCACTAACTGAGTGGTGCAAGACAAAGGAGGGACTTCTGAATTCTGTTTCTCCACTGAGATGTGACCTTTTCCCCCTTGTGGTTTATGCCCCCATGCAGGTTCCAACGCTGATGATGGACACGCAGTTCTCGGAGTTCACTCCGGACATCACCCCCATCATGCTGGCTGCTCACACCAACAACTACGAGATCATCAAACTGCTCGTGCAAAGACGGGTGACCATCCCACGCCCGCACCAGATCAGGTGCAACTGTGTGGAATGTGTGTCCAGCTCCGAGGTGGACAGCCTGAGGCACTCCAGGTCAAGGCTGAACATCTACAAAGCCTTAGCCAGCCCTTCTCTGATTGCCTTATCGAGCGAGGATCCCATCCTGACCGCCTTCCGGCTGGGCTGGGAGCTGAAGGAGCTGAGCAAGGTGGAAAATGAGTTCAAGGCTGAGTATGAAGAGCTCTCACAGCAGTGCAAGCGTTTTGCTAAGGACCTTTTGGATCAAGCACGGAGCTCCCGGGAGCTGGAGATCATTCTCAATCACAGGGATGATCAAAGCGAGGAGCTGGATCCCCAAAAATGTCACGATTTGGCAAAGCTGAAGGTAGCAATAAAGTATCACCAGAAAGAGGTAAGAGTCACCTAAATGGGAAGGTGTTGGGTAAAACAATTCATTTCTCGAGTTGCTGTGGGTTTGTGCAGTGCTGGCTCTCAGGTGGGATTTTTGGATGTGCACATGGATTAGTGACAAGCCAGGAGGCTCAGGGCACCTCGGTGACAGTGTGAATCGATGACAATTGAGGGCTGGGACTTGCTGAGTGGGCTGTGCCTTCTACAGCACCAATAATTTCTGTGTCAGAGCTACTTGAATCCCATCTCATTGTAACCCGTGCCACTGCAAAGAACAGCCTTTGGACATTTCCAGGTCTGCTTGCTCTGAAAGCTCTTCCCAGTGGCTGCTTTTGTACAGGAACCCAAAGCTAGAAGGGGTTGCCTGGCTCCTGAAGACTGGCTCCCTCATGGAGTGCAGGAATAGAGCACACAATTCACTTCCTGCAGCCACCAAGCACTTCCAAGCACCCAATCAGCACTAACTGGAAAGGGCCAGAGATGTGACAGCAGCTAAAGAGAGCAGGAGAGGTTGGGAGCACTCCCAGAGTCCCAGGTCTCCAAGTTGCCAGCAGTCTTGTGAAAACACTGATATGCTGCAAATATTTCTTCACACCTGTGACACCTCTTGATCCTTGGTCCTCGACCCCTCTCTGTTTTAGGAGCTGAGAAGCAATTCCCAGAAATTCAAACTCCTGCCCGTAGTTTCAGAGAGGGAAGCCACACTTCAGCTAAAGGGCACAGAGCCTTTCAGGAGCCCTGCAAATCCACAGATTTATAAGTTGATTCAATAAAGGCCATGAACCCCAGGAGAATGCTGACAACAGTTTCATTAGTTGGCTCTGGATTTCCTTTCTCTTTCCAAACCCAGGCAGAATTTAGGAGATGATTTATTGCTGCTGGCCAGTGATGTTCCAGGTTATCTGAAGGAGGAATTTAGTTGCTTGGTTGAGGAGCTGAATTTCAATGGGTATTACATTCTTCTGTGTCTGGAGGGTCACCTGAGTGGCAGAAGATCCTGTCACATTCCTCTTTTCACTGTCTCCCCCATATCCAACACTGACCCAGCATGGTGTGATCCATTTCACCTCCCTGAAGGGCTGCACGAAGTACAAACAGCCAGGAGGTGAAAGATGCAGATTTCCTTTCATCCCTTTGGGCTCTTGTCCCCTCCCAATGCCAGCCCCTCCATGCAATAAGCTGGAGCCAAGGCCTCAGAATTCCTGGGATCCAGCACTTGGCTCCTCCTGCTGTTGCTGGGCTGCTGGAGGGGAATGCCAGCTCACTGTGTCGTGTCAGGCTGTGTTTTGTGCTCTGTGACAGGGCTGGGTAACACCACAAGTGCTTTAGGGACACGGGCAAGTAGTGAAGGTCAGCCCAGGTAATCAGGTCAAGGTTCATTGAGTCTAAGAAGGAGCAGAGCTTCTAAATCTGTTTTTTCCACTGGCCTGGCAGGCCCAGGGTGTGCAGCCACAAGCTCCAGGTTACCCCAGCACTGTGTGTGCAGGTCACTGCTGGTCCCACTGTGTCACTGGTGACATCCAGGTGTAAATCTGTGCCTGCTCTTACCTCGTGTTCACACTCAGAAGCTGCAAGTGTTTGAAACGTGGTGCTGAACAGTCTCAAAGCTTTTTTTATTTTAAATTTTTTAATCGTTGCCTGCTTTCTTGACAGTTTTTATCTTTTTTTTTTTCCTTAGGCGTATTTGACTGAATTCCAAGCATATGGACAAATTCCATGTTTTGTGACATATTCATGACAGTTTCAGCCTAAAAATGATAGCAAATACGCTTTGTGTTGCCAGCTAAAGTCAATGCTGTTTTCAGGTGGAATACTGGTGGGCAGGGGCAGCATGAATGAGGCTGGGAAAGCAGCTTCTGAACCCTATCATCCCACCTGGTTATTCACAAAAACCCTCAAGCATCCTGCAAGGGTGGCTGGGGTTTTCTTATCATTATAATTAGGCTATCTTATCATGGTAATTACCACAATACAAAACATCAAGCAAGATACAAAACATCCTTGCCAGCTTCTGAAAAAATGAGTAGGAACCTTTGCCAGGGAGACACTGAGAAATGTTTTTTAATCCTGACTGAAGAGTATCAGACTGAGAGGATTTTTGTGGGGACAGGAAGGAAAATAGAAGAGAGTTTAGTTTTCATGAAAGACAGTTTTGCAGAGAAAAATAGCAGAAAGTAGATCATAAAAAAGTAGATCATCTTGTTCTGCTGAAGCTTTTTATGTTTTAACGTTAAATGGGATTGGATTGGATTAGATGGAGAAGCTTTTTACACCTTAACACTGACAAAGATAAAAAAGTCAAATCTCTGGTAGTCTAAGAGAAGAATTCAGCATGGACTTTGGTTATTTTCTGGGGTGTCAATTGTTACTGCAGTTGTTAGTTTTTTATATTCAGCACAAAGAATGTGTAATTTCATATTGATTTCAGACACATTTCCTGCAGCTTTTTTCTTTTTGAGTGAAATAAACCTGAAAATGTCTTCCCAAAATATGAAATTATTCCATTCCAGCACAATCAGACAGATAAGGTCAACTTCAAGATTCTTTTCAGAGAAGCTGTTAAGGGGACATGGGTGAAGAGATGGTGGAGTTTGTCTTTACGAAGGCTGGAAAAATTTCCTGTTATGTTTTGGTGGTTTTTTTTTTCCCCACAAAAACCCCTTGGGAGGTACAAGTTTTGATTACTCCCAAACATGACCCATGCTAAATATTTTATAAACTGAGAAACGTGTTGCTCATGAGGAAGAAGACCATTCTTCTTTGGAGGAGGGCCAAAATGATGGAGAATCCATTTGTTGCCTTTCCTGTTTGGTTTTAATAAGCCTGTAAATCCTAGAAGGTAAATTACTGCTTACAAAGAAGGGGGAAAAAGAATCAATTACACAGGAAAGATTAAAATGTGCCCCAAGGTAGCTTTGTAGTATATTTTATGGCAGTAAATGGTAAAAACATGCTGTGCAATGTTCTCAAGCTGCCTCTCCCTTCTCACGTGAAGTGTAGAATGGTTGTGGCCTCAGTTTCAACTTACTGTGATCATTTCTTTAGAAGATGGGCAGGATTTAATAGTTGTGATATCTGTTTGCATGGCAGTCACAAAATCTGAGGGAAAAAATGAGGACAGCACTGAACACGGTGGAACATGATGAGTTAGACCCAGCATGGACACATCTGTTCTCTCAGTCCACTGTTAAAGAAATTACTTTATTTAAGGATTACAGTAATTAAGGTCTAAGAGACCTTTTCATAAACGCTCTGTAGTGTGTGGCATGTCTTCATATTATTACTTTTCTAGTTCTTTTATTCATGACTAATTTTGGAAGGAGAAAGGGCACTGAGGGCCTAATAGGAAAAGGCACAGCTCAGCTGTTGAGGATCAGTCTTCACTGTGCTCTCCTGGCACCAAATTAGCTCTGCATTTGTTAATTTGTTTGCATTTCTAAGAAAAGATAGGGAAAAGTCATCTCTTAGGATCTTGGCAGTCTCGTAAAGCACAGTTGTGTATACAGGGTGTGTGGCTGGGTTAGGGAATCAGAGCAGAAGCAGCATGCAAAGAGAATTTTGATGTCCTTTAAGTTTTTTTTACTTTGCCAATAATGTAAAAAAACCATAGTGTAGCAGTGAGTCAGGTCTAAAAGGGCAGATTTCTGCTGGTATTTAACATTCTGCTGAGCCACAAGAACAGCAATACACATTCAGCTTATTCCTGCTTTCCTGCTCTCCATCACAGGTCATTCACATCTCCAAAATGAAGTGAAACATCGCAGTCGTGGGGGTTTAAATGCGTTTTTCTGGTGCTGGCAAATAGCTGGGCAGGTTTAGTTTATGTATCTGTAAGAAGTCTACACAATGCAAGGCACTCAGAAAAAAAACATTATTTTATCTATGGCTCTATTGCTTAGCACTTCCAGAGAATTAGATCAAAGGAGTGCACAGAGAAATTCCTTGTCAGAATCCTTAACCTCCATCTCTTTTCCTCGCTGTGCTCTAATCAAATGGCAGGAAAGGACAGAAGCAGAACTGTTTGCTTTTCTAATTTAAAAACAGTTCTCTTTGCCATTTTTCTCTTCAGGATGAGGCTTCAACAGCTTCAGTCCCTTTTTAATTTTTTTTTCCCAGGACATTTGCATAGACAAGCACCTCCTGAGATGCAGTTCTGAAGCAAATGAATAATCATTCCTGCCATGCCGCATATTTTTCCGCTGTGTCTTGACTCGTGTCAGCTGTGTGGCTGCAGTCAGAAGCACAGCATCCCTCTCCAGGGAGCATGCATAAACCTGGGAAATTTCTGAGGGCACTTCACTTAGTGTATAAAAAGAGCTTATAAAAATATCAGAGATGCATGAAAAATGAAGTGTGAGGTCTGTGGAAATCAAAGCTCTTTGCTTGCACCTTGTTTACCCGTTTTGAAAGCCATTCAGGTATCTTGATGGATGGCCACAGATCTTTCTTCGCTCGCAGGCAAAGCTCAGTTATTCTCCTGTGGGTTTGTCTGTTTTCTTGCCATACTGCCTGGAGGAATAATGATACAGGGCTGAATATTTGTATTGTGCTCTTTAAAGGCACAATGAAAAGTCTTGCTTGAGCCTGCACAGCTCAGAAGAGTTATAAAGAGGCTTTTACTTCCAGATTTCTAGAAGGAAATCAGGTCGTGAAAAGATCTTTATTAGGACTAGGTGAGGAAAGCAGAGCTGCTCCTTGTGGAAGCTGTTCTTGGTTTCTAGTGATCTGGAACACCTGTACTTCTCAGTGTGCTCCGTGGTGAGGATGGCGTGGTCTGTCCCGTGCCACAGATCTGAACATAAATTTAGGGGTTTCAAAAGCACTGAGTGTCCAAATGTGACCTTCCCTTTCCCAACAGCCCTCCTTACATTTGTTCATTGCTGTCTGCAGCAATGTTCCCATCTGGTGTGTGAGCAGTGGCCTGTGCTAAATGAAGATGTTTTCTCTCAAGCTCCATCCCAGCAGCACTTGGCCACCTTAGAAAATCTTCTGTGAACGTGG